CAAGTTTAACACAGGCACTACAATTGCTTCTCCAAGATACTGCATTCACATCTAATTTGATATTTTTAATAATATTTGCATTGTTAAGGGGTCCCGTTGTGTGCAGGGAGTGTGTGCATAGATCAGCTTGAACATGTGACATGTGGATATTTGACCAAACCTGCAGGGGATGAAGTTTCCACAGTCGTGGTTTGCCTCCTTTCTTAGTTTGTTTTACAAATGGCAACCTCAATTTTGTGTTTCTGTCCCTGGATCCCAAATAATGCCAGGAGGCTTCTGTATCAGATGGAAGCCCACCCTCCTGGTTTGAGAGTGAGGAATTACAATTACCAAAATACCCTGATTTTCAGCACTCCTCTTAGGAAAAAAAATATGTCATTATTAATATAATAATTTATATAGTAATTTATTTGCTATATTTCTAATTTGACATCCCCTCTGATCTTGATTTCATTTTCATGTGGTAACTTTGATTCTTTTCTCTTTCTATTTTAAAATACCTCAGGTTACTTCAGGCACAGATTTTTTTGGTCAGTAGGTGACCTCAGCTGTTGCTATCATCAGCTGGTACTCCAATCAGCAATACCTACTGGGCTCACATTTCCTCTGGGCTGTTCAGTGTGGTTAGAGAAGCTGGGTTCCCAAATCAAGAGTATGGGATACTCTCCCTGCCTCTCCTCCTCCGTTCTGTGGGAAGTTCCATCCTGGTGGGTTCGTTTTGGGTGGGGACTGAGCAGACACGAGCCACGTCCCCTGCCCGTGCTGCTCTGGCATTTGCCTGCCAACACTCCATCGCTTTTCTGCAAAGCTGTGCTTGCCATGTTGGGCCTGGCAGGGCCTGGAATGAGCCATTTCCTTCACATCTCCTTTGCCTGTAACAATCTTGAACTTGTTGACCCATGTGCCTATTAATTATTGATATAATGATGCATTATTTAGGCTTGTTTCAGCAGACGGATACATTATTACTAGGCAGACATTTGCCAGACAGGCTGATAGATAGCATCCTAAAAAAAGTCTCCAGTTGCCTTTGTACAATAAAGGCCTGTAACTTCATTACTTTCCTCCCAACCCCCTCCTCTTCAGACCATGAAACCTTAATAGGAATCTAAGTGTAAGAATGATCTCTGTAGACAACGGGCTTCATCTTGACTGTGTTGGAGTTGTGGTCCTGATGTTGGTCAGGCCTCAAAAATGCAGAGGAAGTCGCCTTCACCAATCTGCTAAAGCTGGTTTTCCTATGGTACAATGAAATTTTTTTGTTTTTCAACCCCTTTCTGTAGAAAGGAGAACCGATTTCTCCCTTGGTTGCTACGAGCTGTGTTGCAACACTCCAGAGCTGCAGGCAGAGCTTGATGTGTATCTCCCAGGGAAACCTGCCTTTGATTTTGTCTAGGGATGCAAGGAAAAGGCGTATCAAAATGAATTATCTGTAATTTAAAACAGGAGTGCGGAGCGTTTGGAGCCTTTGGAACTGCGGCGTGGCTGCAGCTGAAGGGAGAGGAGGGAGCCCAGACCTCGGTGGGAGCTGCCGGGACGGGGAGCGGGTCCCTGCTGGGGCCGGGGATGGGACAGCTGCTCACGCCTGCTGCTGCCCTCCTTCCTCCTCCTCTGCTGCCCTTCCTCCTCCTCTGCTGCTCTTCCTCCTCCTCTGCTGCCCTTTCTCCTCCTCTGCTGCCATCCTTCCTCCCCTACTGTTCTCCTTCCTCCCCCGCTGCCCTCCTTCCTCCTCCTCTGCTGCCCTTTCTCCTCCTCTGCTGCCATCCTTCCTCCCCTACTGTTCTCCTTCCTCCTCTGCTGTTCTCCCTCCTCCTCCTCCTCTGCCCGGCAGCCTTCTCTCTGTCGCAACCGCCTCCAGCTCTGATGTCAGAGCCCCGCTCTCCACACGCCGTCCCTTCGAAAGCAGAAGACGCACAAAAAGAGGAAGGAAAGCAGACGAAGGACAAGAAATGCAGACTCGAGTGGTACGAGTCTGACGGCTCGTTTGATTTCCAGGGGCTTCCTCACAAGAAACAGTTCAGGGGAAGCAATTTCAGAAAGAATCAGCTGCTGTGTTCAGAAGTGATCTGGCACCGACTGCTTCGTGCCGTGTGGGCACCTGCTGCAGTCAGACCCACACTGGGGCTCTCCTGCTGACACCTTGGGTGCTGTGCTGAATGTTTGCATTCTTTGTGAGTCACTTCTGTCTCATTTCTGATCCCCTGCTACGGCAGAGCCAGGAAAAGCTCCCTTAGTGCAACCCCAACTTGACCGATGTGTTTGTCCCCCCTGCTCAAGGCCATCTCCCTCACTCTGTGGCCACACTAATATTTTCCCTGGCTTTCAGGAGCACCAGCCACACTGCTCCCCTTCCACAGAGCCAGGATCTCACCCTCAGAATGAGTTAATCTCTTCATTTCCCCCTGTTCAGCCACACTCTCAGAAGTACAGTCTTGTTCAGCACAAGGGTAGCTCTTCCAAAAGGGATCCTTTGGGTCTGTCCAAAACTATTAACAACTCTTAACTATTAAAACAATAACTGAGGAAACCTGCATCGATTTCCTGACTGCTGCACAGTGTATTGTGTGTTTTGGTCAGCAGCTTCAAGATGTCCAGGTTTGCTCCAGCTCATGCCTTCTCCCCTGATTTATGCAGTCTGTCTTACTCCTGCTGACATTTTGTTGTTCTTGTCCAGACAGCTCAGTGAGGAACTGTCATCATCTCATTTGTCAGCTATCTCCTTCATCCAGTCTGTCCATCAGGCAACCATCATTATCAGGCAATCCCAGCCTTCCACAAGACACTTCCCAGCCCTTTTAACTTGTAAAATGGTTTTCCTGAGCCTTTTTTTTTTTTTTTTTTTTTTTTTTTTTTTTTTTTTTTTTTTAGCAGCCCTCCCTTGTAGTCCTGGATAGGATGGAAGAATTTATTCTGTCACCTGTTGTGGATTTTATCTCTATGTAGGGACAGGGAAGCTGCTAACTCCCACACTCAAATCAAATTTTAAGTCTGACATGAATAAATGTGTAAAATGCAAGTCCCTAACACTGAATACACAAACTCTCTGTAGACTGTCTAAATTATTTCAGGCTAGTTTACTGAAATTAAATTACATAAAAGTCATACAAAGCAGCACATTGTTATGTAAAACTCTACAAAGCAAGTGCTGTGATTTTAACTGAGTTGAACAAATAAAAAATTAAGTGTAATTTTTGTTCGGGGCCATGTGTTAGCTTTTGAAAACAAAAAGGAAATAAATGAACCTAGTCACACAAAACATATGTCTGCAGAATAATGATAAAATATATACTGGACATCTTGGAAGTGTGGTTTTAATTCTTGCTGGTGTTGTGGCTGGAGGCTTTTGTTGTACATTTTGGCTACCCTGTGTTCGTTTTACAATACAGAATGTTTTTTATTCCTACTTCATCGGGAATAATATAATTCTCTTGGAACAACATGGAGGGTTCTGAGTCCTTCAGCTGAGACACCTTCCTGGGAAGCGCTGGGAATGTCCAAAAGTGCTGCTGACTGTGGTCATCCCAGCCAGGCTGTGGAGGAGACTGGCTTGGGGTACCAAACCATAAACTTTGTGGCCATGAATTCCAAGGAAAGATTTGGCTGTGACCAGCTGGATTTGAGCAGTTCCACACAGAAGTTCTGACGCTGTGCCCTCAGGGTCGCTTTGTTAAAAAAGCTGTGTGAGAAGTTTCTGCGCTCCCTATTGTGTGCACCCTGCTTTTGGGAAGAGAGGAGGTGGTGGTGGTGGCTCTGGCCATGGCAGGAAGACTCTGGCAATGTCTGGCTGGAAAGGCACTTGTCTCTCCTGGCACGTTGCCATGGCCGAGTCCCCGAGTGCCGCGTCACGTCCCTGTCCCTCCCAGGGCAGCGCGGTCGTGGGGCGTTGCTGGCAGCGTTCAGGGCATGGGCCAACCCTGTAACAGCTTAATTAGCTCTTCCTCGTTAAGCAGGATTTCATAATGTAGGTACACGTGTTCAGCTGTCAGCTCCTTTCTTGCAACAAAAGGAAAACCAAAGCGGTAATAAATAGAGAATATTGCACAAGCCAATCTCCAAATAATGGCATTGGGTGGAACAAGCGAATTAGGAGCTGTGGCTACAAAGCAGATTGGTGCTTCCTATTCCTCCAAAAAACACAGCTCTTCAGGCTGATGCAGCAGCCAAGGCCGGTATTGAAAGCCTGGAGATGCCTTTGCTTCCCTCCTGGTGCTCCTGATCCAGGTCTGTGGAAGTGAGGAACCCCCTGCCTTGTCCTTTCCCTCTGACACCTGGTTTAGTTCCAGAGCACTGAGAAAAGCCCTGAAAATTCACCCTCCTACTCTCTGCTGTGAGAGCCCCTGACACTGCACAGACCTTTGAGCTCCCAGGTCATGAAGAACTGAGTAACCAGGCACTGACTTTTCAGTATTATTTTGAATGGCTGTAGAAAGAGATTCCTAAATGCATAGATAAAAAGCATTAAAAATAGAGGCAAAATTATTGAAAAAAGATGGAAAAGTTACTTTGAAAAATTATCCATATAAATTTTTAAAGGTCTTAGCTTAGATTTAGAAGGTAATGATTCATATTTGTAGCATTTCATTGTATCACATGAAATATTTTTGGTGAAGGCAGGTTAACATGACCAGTAGATGCGTATTCATCTCTCAGTACGTTTGTATTGAAAATATGAGTAACTGAAATGATTAATACCATTCCAGATTTCTTCAAACAACATTAAGCTACAAATGCCTTATTTTTAAAACCCAGAATTTTCTTCAGATGTTTATTTTTGAAACTGTGGTAGTATTGCATACCTAAAATATGAATGCATTTAGAGTGGTAGAATGTCCTCATAATAGAATATACTATACGTAGGCTTCTAAAATATAAAGGCTTCCAAAAGCATATTGCAAAATTTAGATTTTGAAGCACCAAGTTCCTACAGTACTGTCCAGATTAGATTAAAAAAAAAAAAAAAAAAAAAGAAAAATTATACTGAATGTGAGTCTTTTTTACAGATGTCACTGAGACAACTTTCTCTGACTTCATTATTTACATGCCAGCATCACAGAACTCTGGAAAAAATGAGGAGAAGGGATTCTTCTGGACAGAGGTAAGAGATACCTGAAATACCAGTTCCAGAGTGATTCTCCTCAGCCCCAGCTTTGCTGTGCTTTTTCCTGGGAACTTCTCTGGCTTGAGCAGGGAGTTGTCCTGATGGATCATTGTTGTGCCCCACAGCTGACCCCAAGCTGTCCTGAGTCACACACTGTGCATGGCAGCATGTTGGGACAGGGCAGAAAGGGACAAAAATCACCCAGCACTGGGGGGTGAGACAAACCCAGTTTCAAAACCTTGGTACCTCTATTTAAGAGTATTTCAGCTGACAAGACCCATTTGAAGCTCTTGTCCCTGACTGGATTTTTGCAGAAGTGCCTGACACTTAATGATGGCACAGCAGTAATCCCTAGGACTCTCTTCCTTCACAGACTGAAGTTATGACCCCATTTTGCTTGTAAATTAACTTGGATTATAACCTAGGACAAATAATGCTCTTGATCAAAATGTTACTGACAAATTTGTTGTTTACTTGAATCTAGACATAAACATGACCTTTGAACACTGTGAGGAAGAAGCTCTTTTTTCACACACATTTTTCACCAGAAAAACAAAAACTTGGAGATGATTTTATCCACAATTGTTTCCTTAATTATTAACATATTTTTTAATGCAATGGGGGAGGGAGGGATAATTTTCTGGGCAGTTCTATTCTGAACTGAACCCATCTGACATGGATATAATCAAGATTTTACAACTACTTCAATGAATCAGTGCAGGAGGGAATAATTTACACTCCCCTGGAAGTGGGAATGCTGCACATGCACCATCATCAGGGATACTCAACTGAACCTCAAAAAGAATGCTGTTAAGCTTTTTGCATTAATTATGCTTAAACCCATCTCTCTAGTGATACTAGGGCTAATTTTTAATTGATACCCTTAAATCAATTCCTTCATGGAGAGGCAGTGGTTGATGATGAACTCTTGGGGAAGGGAAGCCAATATTGTCCTGTCAGCAGTCAGGTACATTATAGCCCTCGCTGTACATCTCCTCCTGATGTGCTTTGATGGTGCTCATTTCTCCTGGCATGCTTTTAGCTCCCAGGGATTCAGATGTGTCAGCTACTATAGCTGTAGGAAAACATTGATGATGGATTTATAACACTCAGACTTCAACTAGTGACCTGAAAAATGGCTGTGGATTTGCTTTTGCAGCAAAATTGGTTTTGCCCATACAAACCCCTTGCTTCTTAAGTTCCCTTATCTGTATTTTAATGAAACATTTTATCCTGGGTATAATTCATGACTCTTGTCAGAGTAAGTTTTCTCAATGAGGCATAGTTGGGGTAGCTACTGAATTTATGGGAAGGAATCAACTTAATCTCTTTAAAAGCAAAGTTGTCTTCTGGCGTGTCAATTGAACTCTACAGAATAATAGTTCTGAAATATCTCCCTGTCTGTGGGAAGGAGGGGTTTCTCTGGCAGAGAGATGCTGGAGCTCTGTCAGGGCAATGGTAGGCCAAAGTTGTACTCCTGAGCCAGCCATTCCAGCAAAAACCCTGATGGAATATTAAATAATGAATTAAATATATCTAATATTTATTTTCCATCTACATTCTCCCATTGGAGGGGGAGCTTCCAGGGACAGTGTGAGCTCTGGGCTGTTCATGCTGGATTTGTTGGAAGCTTTACTGAATCTCCTGAGAGAAAAAAGGATCTGCCCAACAGCAATCCCACTGGATGAAGTTAGGAGATGTTGGGTCACTTTCAGATTTTCAGATTATGGATTTTCCTGTGTCCTTGGATTAGCTATTCAACCCATTTTTTTCTCAATTTCCCATCTGCAAAATGGGACTGACAGTATTTCCCTCACTGACAAGGAACAGGCCTCTGTTTAGGTACTATCCCGAACTGGAGGGTAGATCTGGGATATGTTCTTGGACTTGTTGTTTTGTCTCAAGTAAAGAGGGTTTCCCACATGCAAGTGAAACAGGATCTCTGTCCTACAGCCATATTTTTGAGGGCTAACTGGATTAGGGAGGACAAGTAAAAGGAGCAGCATTTTAAAATGATTTCTGTGCTGCAAATCAGTTTAAGTGTTTTGAAGTTTCATAAGATCATCCCCTGTGGATGTCAGACAGAAGGAGCCAGGCTTTGAAGTACATCAGAAAGTGGCTTCTTCCCCTCCCTTCCCCAACAATTCCTCTAATATTTCTTCCATCCCACAGGGAGAATTCAGCTCCTAGAACAGGCTTCCCCCGGAGCAGCTCGGAGTGCATCCCTTGCAGAGTCACGGGGATGTTGTAGCATGTAATTCATAACCAGAAACACTTCCCTTGTGGACAGGTTCCTGGACACACCCTAGGCTGAGGGCAGACAGCTGTGGTTTTCCTTCGGTTTCGGGAAACTGGGATAACCTCCCTCCTGCAAGTCACCAATGGACATGTTTGGCTCCTGGCACTCACTGCTGCAGTGGTGAGTGCAGAGCAGGAGTTACTGAGCAGTGAACATGCAGAAATCAGGCAGAAGAAGAGCAGGATGCTCCAGTGTGCTGCTCTCCTTGAACCTTTAGCATTTCATCTGACAATTCACCCTGTCCTTGGCCTCTGGATTGAAGCACCACTTACCAGAATGGGTTTAGTGGGATCAACCTCTCAGGAAGCACAGTGGGAGCAAAGGCCTTCTTGCCATGGTCAGTCAGTCAATGGGTTTGGTCCATACCACTGGATGATCTGGATGTCCACCCAGTTCTGGTGGGCCAGGACAGCGAATAAAGGAGCTCTTCCCTCCTGGAGGAGACTGAAAGCGTTTGCATCCTCACAAATGATGAATGGGCCAGGGAGAGCAGAGCTGCTTCAAGGTGCTCAGCTTTGTAAGTGGTGCAGAGCTCTGTTCCTTGGCCTGAGGAGACAACAGAGCCCAGAAAAGGCTGCTGCTGTTTGTGGGGAGAAGGAAACTGACCCCAATTCCCTCCCCATCCCCACCCCATTGACTGAGCCCCTCCAGCCTCCTCGCAGGGGCCCCAGCCACTGCTCTGCTCTGCTCTGTGGGAGCTGTGCCGGGAGTTCCTACCTCTTGTTTACAGCTCCCTGCTCAGACCTGGTGTCTGCTTTCTCCTCTCAGCTAATTTGCAGACAGAGGCCTCGAGGGCTTTGGGTTGGTGCCACCAGACTCCTGCGAGCTCCAGCGGTCGTGTTCTTTCCCAGACAATGACTTCAGTAGCCTCCGGGCACCCCAGAACCTCCTAACAAACATCTCTCCTAACTGCCTTATTAACTGATTGCTCTAGTAAGATAATAATTAACACCCTTACTTGTGCCTTGGCTCAGCCAAAAATATTCTCAAGTGGACTTAGAAATGCATAAAATGAATAAATGATTTATGTTTACTATTTTTAATGGAGCTACTTATTAGCAACGCTCTCATACAGAGCACCATAAAAACACTCCTGGTTTCGTTACAGATTTAGAAGGTGGTAATGAAAAGCTGTAGGGAATAGAATGGGGAAACACTCCCTGAGCCAAATTCTGCTCTCAGTTGTATTTAAAGGTCTTGCTGAGTTAAATTCTAGAGAGGATTTGCCCAGAAAACCATTAAAATAGAGACAAATCTCTGTCATCTGCTCATTGCAGCTCAGCCATTCAGAACATGCCCCAGCCAGGAGAAGGGTGCCTGCCCTGTCAGTATAAACCCAAAAACCCAAGGGCAGGATGTGTCTGTATGCAGCAGATGAGCCAGGCTGTGTTTACACATGTACTCCATGTTCCTGACCCCACCAGGCATGAGACAGTTGGAATTTCACCGTGGCAGCCTGCAGGAGTTGTGCTGGCTTCAGAATGCTTAGCACCTCTGACCTTGGTGGGAAAGTGAGAAGGTTCATGCTGCAAATTTTCACTAATTTATCTTGTTCCTTACTAAAAGGACTAATTAGGATGGTGTGGTGGACTTCAGAGAGAGCCCTGACACAGTTTTTGGGGCATGAATGCTGTGCCTTGTGCTATTGCTGATGACAGAAGTGACACCCTTCATCCATGTCCTCCACATCCTCCACATGGAAGTGAAGGTGCTGCCCTTTGTGTTTGAGGTCTGGGTGCATTTAGGAGCCTTGGCAGGTGGGAATGGAGCAGGTGAACTCTTCACAGTGGTGAATTTACTCTGATTTGATTCTCCAGCCACAAACAGTGTTTGCTGTTCTGTTGCTGAAACGAAGCCATGGGTTCCATCCCAAGCCAGGACACACAGCACACACTGTCCCCACATTTGTTTGACCAACCACCTCAATCACATTGTTTTATTCCAGCTCAAAGGGGAGTCCCAAGCCCTACTTCCCACTTGCTTTCCAAGCTCTGTGGATTTCTGTTCAGAAGATAGTGGTGCAGGCACATATCCAGCTGGTCTATACTGAAATCCATATTTAATATTTAGGACATTTCCTTTTGCATCCACCCAACCCTAAAAATGCTCATAGAGCACTTTTGCAAATACATTTAAATACCTGCAAATATTTTCCTGCTCCCTTTGCTCACATCTGCTGTGAGAATTAATAATGTTCATCAGCTGAAGTTCTCCAAAGAATTGGCAGTACCTGATTTTTGTCTGGACAGGACAGGATTTCAGTGCTGCCTGAGAAATCAGAGCACTTTTAGGTGCTGGAAATGTCACATCATTAATCTCTGGAGATCCTAGAGAATTTTCCAAACTTCCATTCTTTCACTAATGTGTAAATGAACATCCTGTGGATATTATCAGCATTTCTGGGGCAGTGTTATCAGTCAGTCCCACACCAGCTAAAGGCTACAGACCTGCACTTGTCATGAAGAAATACTGGATTTTAAGATAACTCCCATACTGACCCTGCTGATGTTTCTTAAAATGATGTATTGCTCTATTTTTTTTAATTTTCAGAAATAAAAATGAGTTTGCTTCAGGGCAGAGACAGTCTAAAAGCCTATGCTAATAAATCTCTGCAAGTTTAGTAGTGTTTAATACATATTCTGCTCCAAGTGCTTTTTAAATGCTTTATCACCTTTAAGTAAATACAGTGGAAGGCTGC